GCCTTGTGTACGTCTGGTGCGCATGATTCCTCACTTAAATAGACAGGAATGCTGCTGCTGTGCATGTTGAAGGAGTGTGGGCCGGCTCCGTTGATGAAACGTGGCTCTCATCCACCTGCCACCCCGTTTTATTTCTTCGGGTTTACACTGGATATAGGGGGTGGATGGAGCTATACGGGGTGCAGCGCAAACTACCCTTGGTCCCTGAGTAGGCGCAGGCGCCCTGCGGTTGACCTACGGAGGCAGCAATGACAGGTAAGTCCGGAATCGGATGCCGCTAACCAGTTATGTATGTAGCCGTGTTACCTGTAAATGTGTCAGTCCATTTGTGTAAGTTTGATCGGGTCACCAGTGTGAGAAGAGACCAAAGGAATGTCTGGAGTTGGACTTCCTGTCTAAAGTGTGTATGGTGCAGAGCTATCGGTGGAGTAACGGCTGGTTATAATGCGGAACAGTGAAAGCCACAAGGAAGCTGTCGAGCCGATGCCACCTTACCTTCACATGTAGCCAGGTGTTTGTAACCGTATGTTGTTGACAAAGTGAGTGCGCCCATGCTTTGAGTGTGCTTGGGTCTAACACTAAGCCCGCACTTCCCGTCTTATTTTTCTTCATTCCTTAAGTCATTGCAGTTGTACGGCGACGAAGCATAAGTCCAAATGGCTGATGTGCTTCTGTTAATGATGATGTTCTTTTCGGCACTATTTGGTGTAGAGGAAACGCCATCCAGCTGGTAGTTGTCAACTGTCAATGCGCATACTGTGACGACCCACTGATACAAAAATGCTCAGTAGTGAAGCCGATTCCGAAGGGCGGTGACCCAAGTAGGGTGGGGCGATTACCCCCGCGTTTGTCTGGCCTCCGTTCTAGCCAAGGTGCTCGAGAAGACCGTGAAGAAATGTTTTCTGCAGCTGCTGGAATCGAAAGACATGATGCCGGAACAGCACGGTTTCGTGAAAGACCGCGCATGAATCATTGATTTGCTGGTGACACGGCACAGATTGGCCGCAAGCGATAAACCGCGGGAAGTCGGTAGACGTGATCTTCCATGATTTCAGTAAATCGTCTGACAAGGTGAACCAATAGGTCCTCCTACACAAGCTGAAGATGCGCAGTGTTGGTGGCTCACTGCAATAGTGAGTCAGCGACGCCCTTATTGGTCGGTAGTGGAGGTTACAGTTGGATAATCATGTAACTGATAGGTAACATTCATTCGTTCAGAATACACCTTAGCTACAGATGGAAAACACCTCAGCTATTGTGCCGCAATATACAAAAAACATGCAACAGAAGTACGCCGGCTGAATCACCAGTAGCGGACGGACATCATTCCGGAGAGCTAGCAGGCAGCTATTGTGTACCAATATATATGGTTGGCGGCATCCGGTTTCGGATTTGCCTGTCACTGTGGCAAGCCACAGGACGCCTGCGCCTACAGAGGGACCATGGATGGCTTGCGCTGCAGCACCCACAGCTCCAACCACATACCCCATATCCAGTGTAAACCCGAAGGAATAAGACCGGGAGGCATGCGGATGGGAACCACGTTTCATCAACGGAGCCGGCCCACACTCCTTCACAGGCAAACACAAGCACGTTGTATTTGGGGAATCAACCGCACACAAGGCGGTGGCTGGACCGTAGTCCGCTCCACACTGAGTGCATGGAACCGCTCTTTGAGCCTAGCACGGCCACAAGAACCGTGCACCCCGTCCCCTCCAGCAACGACCAACTGTCTCCTGGAACCAGTATGAACGATGTAGTGGGTAATAGACAGGTAGGCACCTTGTCAACATACACATCAAGCGCAACCATACCAGGGATACCAAACAACAGCCATTCACTTTAAACGACAAGCCGAAATAAAATAAATCCAATAATGCATACAGATACGGTGGCATAACTCTTCGCTAAATTACCATATGAAGTAAGTTGATTAGCAACAAATCCGTGCTAAGTAAGAAATGTCCACAAGTTACTTAAAATGCTACAAACGCAACAAAATTACCGAAGATAAGCGCAATTAGTGTAAGCAACGTGGCCAGTTAATAGAACATTATTCAGGGAGGCAGAACAAACCAAATAAAGCGGAATGAAATTTAGCCAGCTTAAAAAGACCTAGTTTAAGTGTAAGTTGGTTTAGCCCAACTGCGGTGAAGAAGCATCAAGAATGCAACATCAGCCTCAGCATGGGGCACACCAATATATATATATATATATATATATATATATATATATATATATATATATATATATATATATATACATATATATATATACATATATATATATAATGCTTAACAAAAGCTCGTTGTCGGAGGGGAGGCTAAGCTAAGGGGTAAATAAACTCACGACGCAAACGTCACTGAGGCCTCCTACTTGCCGTGTCAACAGGTGTATCCAGCCAAACGTGTCCATCTTCTTACCATCACCAACCACGGAGCCAAGAGGCGTCAAAGGAAGCCAACTTCGAAGTAAGGGCTTTCATTTCTCTTGATCAAGTCATCGTCTGGCCACTCCACTTCTTTCATCCGCACCCACAGCGCGCAAGCAACGCATGTCACGGGAGTCGGTCTGTTGGCATGCGCAACATGTGACCCTGCCATCGGGGCCTGGTGCGTGTTATAACGGCGCTGAGCGGTTTGATTCTCTTTCCTAGGCCATAAATAAGGTGTAGAACACGTTCATTGCCCACACGTCATTCCCACCAGATATGATCCAAAACTGCGAACGTAATTAGTCTCTTTATGTCTGCTGACCGGATGGGCCAGATTTCACAACCACACTGCACGGCAGAACGTACGGCTGCATTGTACTTAACGGCTATGGAGCGTAATTACACGTCCAACCAGACCCCAGGCTCACAAACGCAGGTCGTGGGAGTCGCTGTGCTGGCATGCGCAGCACGTGGCCTAGTTATCGGAGCCTGGTGCTGAGCGGTTCACTCGCTATTCCTGCACCAAATACGCGGCGCCCAGCACGCTCATTGCTTACGCGGTGCTCCTACCAGACATGAGCTATGCTGAGGAGGCAGCGACGGTTGAGCGTAACAATCCTTTCTAAGTTTGTCGACTGGATGGGCCAGGTTTCGCAAACGTATAGGATGGTTGAACAAACGGCCGCATTGGAAACTTTGCTCTTCAGAGCGAGAGTACTGTCACGCCAGCGCCACAGGTGGCAGATATAGGCAAAAGTGCCTCGAGCATTTGCTATGCGGTTTGCGATCTCTTCAATTCCGCTGGCGCTGATATAGTTGTCTAGACACAAATTTCGCGACTACTTCGAGTTGATCACCACAGAGTTGTGTCCCTGCCAATCTTGGAGCTTGCATTTCGAGGATGCAAAGCACAACCTTAAAACGACTGACAGTACCACTTGGCACATTTGAAAGCTATCAAAGACAAGGGCAAGGTCGTCGGCGTAATCCGAGTCAAGAAGTCGATCACGTGGAAGCAGCTCCACAGCTGTAGGTCGTGACTAGTGAACGCAGTCTCCATAACTTTTTCATGGCGAAGTAAAAGAGGAAAAGTGACGGCGGGCAAACCTCGTTTCACACCGCTGGGGAAAGTGAAGGGCGGCGAATGACTGTCGCAAACCCTCACTCTGCCCGAACTATGCGCGTACCGTTATGAAATTTATATATTTCTCGGGCATACATTTTCTCAGCAGACAGCTACAACGCGTACAACGACCAACAGAAAGAGAGGCCCTTTCGATGTCTAGGTGGGTCGCCAATAAACATAGCGATGCTTCAAAAACGGATGTAAAGTCAAATGTGGTCAAAACAGCCTCGATTTCGACTAAACCTAGCCTGCACATCGCGCATCTGGCTTTTACGGATGTCAGTCAGTCTATGGCGGACGACAGAGGCAAATAACTTAAAGACAATTAAGACAACTGATTCCACTGACTGTCGCTTTCTGAACGGGAGCATCCCTTGAAAATTGGGAGTATAATGGAGCAGATCCAGTCTGATGGGACAATCTCATGCTTCCATGGATTTAGTAACAAGCTATGTAAATCGTCCAAAAGAGGTCCCCCGAATTTAGATGGCTGGATGAAGTCCATCTGCTCTGGCGGCCTTGCTTAATTTAAGCCGTCTGATCTCACGTTCGAGCTCTGCATGAGCGAGGATCCAAAGGGACGGCCCAGGAAGAAGGGCGCTCATTTGCCGACAGAGAAGTTGGCAATTTTGACTGATTAAACTATCTCATAGTGTTCGGCCCAACGCTCTAGGCGCTTTGACGAGCTATGGATTCGCTGTCCATTCCCGACCTGTATGATATCGTTGACACCAGGTCTTCTGCTGCCTGATTTTCGTATCAGACGGAATAACTCATGGACATAAGCAAGCTAGAGTTAGGATCATCAACCATCAATACACGTTAGTCGAGGGTGAGAAACACAGCTGATGTGCCGCGAGATTGGGTTAGCCATAGATGTGGAAAGATCGGGGCTGAAGGATGCGGCACTCACTTTCCCAGCTATAGCTGTGGTATCACAACACATTAATGGATGGGTGGATCAACATAACGAAGGTGATGAAACAATGGCTCCACCACGACATCGAGTTTTAGCGTAACAGCTTTTAATGTGATGACACCATGAGTAAAGACGTTACAAATTGTTGGCTATCAGAAAGCCGGGGTCTAGCAGCTAAATTTAACGATGGAGTCGGGATGGACTATCGTCGAAAAACTCAATCTACACCATGTCGATGCGCAATGGCTACGTTCTAATCAGTCGCTCTATTGAACAAAGGACGGAATGGCTGTTGATTATTCCTGTTAGTAGGCTGGGTTGGATGGTCTCAAAATAACGTAGTAAGAAAAAGTAAGGTCAAGTGAGATGCAACATAAAAGAGGATGAATGGAAGAATACCGAATCCCTATCCATGATACCAAACAACGCAAGCGCACCCATGCACACACATACGCAATACCAAAAAGAAGCATTACAGGATGGTAGATGTAACGAACCAGTAGTGGAAAATGATAGCCTACCATCAAGTGACTGGCGATGGTAGGGTCGAGAGAGGGGATCCAGTTCGTGGACAGCAGACAGGCGGCGCTCTAATCTCCTCACCTTGCTGCCAATTGTTGCATCTTCAGAGGTTGCGTGTTGATTGCACAAAAATGGAGTTCCATGATCTGAGTAAGGACGTGGTAAGAAATCGGTGGGCATTTCAAAGGGCTCCTCATCATGATCGATGTATTGGCGCATGCGCGGAGACTCATCACCCAAAAGCACACCATGTAGGGTTTGCTGCTTTCTTCGACGTGATCCAGAGTTATGTGCATTAATCGGGCCACGATGACGGGAGGGAGCCACAGAACCTGTACACTGACGAAGTCTGCACTTTTGCCTCATGCGATTAGGTCCACCAAATTTTCGTCGGTCACGGCAGTAATCACACTTACCGCAATCTTCCAGCCGTAAACAACCGGAGCACGATCCACAACAGCGATTGCGAGGGGACGTAGCTCGGTTCTTATTCGAAGACTGAATCCGTCCGAGGCTGAGAGAATCACTTTCGTACACGGGTTGCTCGCAGTCACGCGACCATACGTTTCTAGAATAATAGCCCATTGGGAAGGTATGTTCAGAGGATTCGTCGTAACTGTCAATGATGCTGGCAGGGGAAACCTTGGGATCGGGGGGAGGCGGTTTTTTCTCGCTATTCGAAGGCGTAGGACTTGCGCAAGTACGTTTGACCTTAGTGTTCGGAGCTTCAACTTATACAGAAGTTAATTAAACCTTTTACATACCTGGGGCAGAAGCAACTGAACTGGTGGTGGAAAACCGCTTCGGTTTGCTCGTTTTAGGCGACGGCTGATCTGCATATGCGCTACCGCTACTACTAGGGCTCATCGGTCGGCGCGACTTAGTCCGTTGGGTACGAGAAGATATATACTCAATCTCAAGAGAGGTGTCCTTCCCTAAAAGCAAGCATTAAGGTACACGAAGATCTTACGCCGACACTGATGGCAGAAGAATGTCTTGATTTGCTCTGCTTGTTTAGGTGTCACGTTAATGCAATCACCATGGTACCACTCCTCACAACGATCGCAAGCACTAAAGACATATTGTAGTAGATTTTGCGCTTACATCATGAAGCGATCACCATCACTGGACCGGCAAATGCAGTAAACAGGCAACACTTTTTGCTCTCGGGACTCGCTTTCTTTTTTTAGACCCTTGCGTCGTTTCTGCATTTTGCCGAGCTTCCTTATTTAAAGGAGTAAAGAAGGATGTGGGAATCGATTCTGATAAAAAGCATCAGATGATTTAATAGTCTAAATAACGAAAAATCCGCGATTTTAATAAGAACACAAAACGCGCGTTCAATGGCGATGGAGATTTGATGGAGTAGAACAATAATCAGATCAAATGTACGCAAAGCAAAGAACAAAATGTATGAGCTTTTACCTGGCTACATGAAATGTAGAAAGCTCAAAACTTGTACAATTTCTGCCGCAATTGAAATATTTGTGCGTGCTGTCTTTTAAGATTTCACTTTCAAAGCAAGGCTCGGAATAGTGTTTACAAATGTCGTGCAAAAATTTGCCTTTTGTCAAAGTTCGTCTGATCCAAATAAATTTGGATTATTGTTTTCCCCGGATTGCGTCGTACCCGTTTTCGGGTACTTATCAAATATCCTCCATGTTTTCGGATTCTGCCTCTGGCACTTTTTGCGGTCTTCTTGTGTTTTGTAATCCGTTTTGCACCTTGTTTTAACCCGTAACTGTTTCTGTTGACTGCGCTGCAGGGTACAGCGTGCCGGTTTTCTTTTGTCACTTAGTGCACACTTTTGGAATTCGTTATATCGGATTCAAAGTATACCGGCGCTAATGTGTCTTCGGCTGCGTTGATCGGCGAAGCTAATGCTGTATGTGGCAGGTTAATCTGCTCAAAACCCCGTGACGGAGGAGGCTGGTGGCACGCAGTGCTATCTATGCCGCTGCTCGTACCATGAGACTTGATCAGTGCATAATGCTTTCGACTAGTGATAGCATGCGGTTCACTTGTCTGCTACGCCGTTGTCGCCGACCTACGCGTCTTGAAGTCGCTGAGGAGACATGTAGCAACTTCGGGCTGGGTAACAAGCAGTTGTGGTCTTTCCTTACATCTCTTGACCAGAAAGTGGAGTTACTGCTGAGGAAAATGGGTGTCTATTGATTTCGGCTCATTGGAGGAAGACACGCTACCAACCACAATTGCTCTAGATGAAAATTCGACTGGGGTCATGGCTACCGTGTCGTGTGCTCCAGCGGTCTAGAACGCCCCTTACGTGGCCTCTGGTGTATTGGAAACCGTCCAAAGCGAGACCCAACTCATAGCCCCTGTGCCCAATAAAAGCAAGAGGAATGGTGCTGAGAAAGTCCGTAAGGCTCCCTCAAAGCCTGGAGGTACTGAAACAATATAAGGTATTGGAGGTGGAGCACATAGATCCAACTCTAATCACCCCAGTTCCATTGGTAAAGAAACGCACCGTGTCGACTTGGGCCACACCCGCAAATTCTGAAAAGACCAGGCCGGTGAGAGAGTTGTAGGTATAACACAAGGCCTGTAAGGAAAGCGCCGTGGCACCTCACTAAGCGTTCAAACCTGGGGTCAAGGCGAAGCCTCGTGGAGTGAATACGCCTTGTCGAGGTGATTCTTTTACTGTTAGTGGCGTTATCTTTCGTAACGTTACTGAATCCGCGGCAGCTCTTCCCATGGAAGGCATGCTAGATTACCTCCAGTGGTTCAAGCTCTGCTTCAACAAGGTGCTTCCACCTGGATTTCCAGGTGTCACTATCAGGAAGCGAACCAGGTTGGGGAACGCCCTTGTAGTTATGTCAAATCCGCGACTCCGACCACTTCATGTAGGTCTCGCAAAACCGGATAAACGCAAAGCGTTGTTACGTTTTGCAATCAAACTCAAGTGTAGTAATGTCCGGTTTCAGCCAGACCACCCACCGGCAGATTGACTGAAGTTAAAGGAAGCCAGCAAAAACGTCCTTAGCAGGTTGGCGGCTGGTAAGCCAATCCTTGGCCTTGTGGATTTTCAGATGGCCAGCCGGAAGTCAAATTCTGTCCTACCAGAACCCCTCAAGGTGATGTACGACCCAGGGCTGGTCGTGCCGAATTCCTTCGGGTAGTGCTTGGTAGTGAGGAAGGCTGCTTGTCGAGGTGCCGTATGATGTGGTTTATTCGCCGCTGCTACGGTGTCCAAACGGCCAATAGCTTTGTGAAGCTGTTCTCAGCGTTTGTGTGGCCCTACTTAGAATACTGTCTTCAGGCCTGTCCACCTTGTCTTGTAAGGAGCAAAATGGAACTGGAGAGGGTTTGGAGAGTGAGTACGAGGTTAGTGCAAATGTTACGGGGCAAACGCGTCTCGGACGCTTGCTTACCTTTTGTATGTACTCAATGCACTAACGCAGAATTAGAGGAGACATGATCCTCGCTTACGGTGTGTTTTTGCCGTGAAGCAGCACAGGATATTTCGGATGGTAAGCCACAAGCTGCATTGCATCCTGTAGGATTTCCATTTCAATAAGAGCCTGATTGTTTTCCTTCGACAGCACCATTTTCTTAATCAGCCCAATGGGAATTGCAAGGAGTGCAATTTCATTCTCAGTCACATCCGACGGCATATTACGTACGTGTATGACGCGAGAGGGGATGGTGGTAATGTGATCCGACTGTGATCTCGACTGCTTTCAATCCTCGGACTCAATTTCCAGCGTGCGTGAACATTTCGAGGTGCTGCTAAGTTGTTATCTAAATCTGACAGCATAGCAACAAAAGCCTGAACACGGTTCAGAAACTCCAGTAAACACTGGTATTGGTTGGGGCGGAGAAATATCAATACACGAAGAATTTTACCCAATCCATGAAACGTTTTGTACAATATGATATGAGCGATTTGCTGACACATGATATTGTCAATCAAAATCCGCAGAACACTATTGGGATTGCCGGACTGAGCACCACTAAGACCTTGCTGCACGGTACCATTGGCACTTTTCACGGCACTATCGACCACATTGTTCTCAGAAGTCAGCTCTAGGCACACATGTGTTGAGAACTGTAAAATAATGTTTTTTGTATCTAAATGGGGAAGATCTGTCCAGATTTGTCCTGGCTATTTACACCCGCCAAGATGCCTAGTATCACAGGTCACCCGTTGAAGGTGCACAAACTGCCTTCTGACTCGGGTAAGGGCGGGAAATCGTTGGTCAGGGCGCGTTATTGAAGGCTGGAACCCGCTTCCGGAGCACGTCGTTAGGGAGTCTACGGTAGAGGGTTTCGAGCGTCAGTTAGATGCCCTTGGAGGCAGCCCAAAACATTCCGCTTCTCTAACCGACTTGTATCGTCAACTTTCCCTTCGTATTTTTGTAAATTGCCTCTCATAGCTTGATACCAACATTATTCATTTCACATTCCTCCTCTTGTTTTCTTAGCTTACCCGTCACTCTTTTACTTCACATAAACCGGTCCGGTAGGGATTGCTAGGCAGTGTAGTGTACCGGAAAAGACGCACTTTCAGTATTTTGCAACATCGGATTTTACGGTTGGTTTAACCTTCAACACGTTCATTTGTTTTACTGACTACGCATCCGTCGACACAAACCGTTTTGGTGAGTACCTTGCTGCATTTATCGCGCTCTGGCGGATTCGCTTCCCATTTTTGTAGTCTGCACAATATACGTTGGGTTCAGTCTTCTCGGACTTCTGTACTGTCGTATTTGACACACCTTACGAGTCATCGCTTACCGACTAGTATCTCAGGCTCCAGCCAACCGTTGGTGACCCCCTGTTAGGAACACGCCGCCCGCCAGTTTGCATTTTCATTCTGTTGAGCTCGTTCCAGTGCTTTTGTTATTCATTACTTGTGATCATATTGGTTTCTCACCTACTACACTTTATCCGCCTTTTTGCAATGCAGTATCTGGAGGATGAGCCGTCCCTATGTGCGGTTAACGCCGTTGAGACTGTGATGGACATTTCTGTTGTGTTAGCCCCTCTCCTTTTTGGGAAAGCGATCCTTCGCTATGATTATAGAACCTTGAATCCGTATTTTATGTTCGTAGGATTTCTTCTGAGTTCGCTGTGTATAATCAGCTAATACCTTGCGTTCCTCAGAGTATATCCTCGCAGGTTAGAGACATCATACTTTGCCCCTCTAGTAATGAAACAAGAGCATCTTAACCAGCCTATTGTTCAGCGCATCACGCCTTCTGACATGGTCGGTCTGCAGCGACTATTTAGTGATCTGCAACTAGGAACTTGGATGCCCTCAGCCTTGTTGCGAGAAAAGCAACTGCTCATCGGCTCGTCCAACATGGATGTGGGGGTTCTCCGCGAGCTGTGGATGCAACGCCTTCCTGAAAGCACGCAGGCTATCCTTGTAATAGCAAGTTTCCTGCAACTCACAGCAATTGGAGATATAGCAGACCGCATCATCGAACGGCACCAGCCAGCGACTGAAACCAAAGCACCTAAGCAGCTCTGTGCTGGCGCAACCCCACCGACACCCTCGACTAGCCGTCCATCGGCAATAGGCGCAGTATTGTCTCAGTTAGCGTCGCTTCAGCGCCAGATCGAGGAACTCACTCTAAACCGTAAGTACCGCAACCGCTCTGGTGCAGCGCCCCGTCGCCCAAAACCTGGCGCCCCAGGTTACTGCTTTTACCACTCGCGTTTCGGCAATAAAGTGCCTACAGTCATGTAGCTACTCTGCTTTAGGGGATCCGCCACGCCGGCCTGTAGTGGCCACGAACGTCGACAAAGCTCATAATCGTCTCCTCTATATTAGGGATTATGATTCCGTGACCTAGTGCTTAGTTGCTACCGGGGCGGAAGTCAGTGTCATTCCCCCTATGCCAGGTGAGTCTACCGCTTCTCTGTCGATAAGCCTCAGTGCCCTTTATTGCATGCCAGTAGCGACCTACGGTCATCGGTCGTTTATCTTGGACCTGGGTCTTCGGCGCACGTTCCACTGGGTATTCACCGTCGCTGCAGTCTCGTTTGCTATCGTTGACATTGACTTTCTCAGGCAGTTCGACCGCTTGGTCAATGCAAAACGCCAGATGATAGTCGGCACAGCAATGAAACTCGGTGTGCGTGGTATCAACGCCGAACTCGCATCTATAACACCAGCCTACGCCTTTCCTCAGACCTAGCCAGATTACGCCAACCTCTTCTCCCAGTATTCCAAGCTCGTTCAGCTAATGAACGCAGCAGTGTCCGTGGCATCCCAAGTTACGCACCACATAAGGAAGAATGGCGCACCAGTGTCATGCCGTCCACGCCGACTATCGCCTGAGAAAATAAAAGTAGCTAGGGAGGAGTTTGAGCACATGC